ACTGTGCTCCTGGGTTTGATCCCTAGTACTGCTAAGTAAATAAATAAAGACCAGAAAATTGAAAAGAAAACCTGATCATTATGTTTTTTTGGTCTTTTTAAAAAAATGTACTTAGGACAGCGTCTACAGGGTCTTAATACAGATCAGACTCATAGTGATCCTACTGTTTTCAGCTTCCCAAGTGCTGGGATTACAGGTGCTCGCCACCATGCCCATTCTCAATCATGACCGGCAGGGGGTGGGGGCTGGGGGGGCAGCACAGCAGCATGCAGGGGATTGAACCCTGGTCCCTGAGTCTGTCTAAGCAGGTGCTTTAATCCACTGAGCTATCTGGCTGGCCCTTTTTGAGACAAGGTCTTGCTATGCAGTTCAGGCTGGCCCTGAGCTCACTTTGCAGCCCAGCCTCCAGAGTGCTGGGATTATAGGTATGCGCCACCACACCCAGTCTGATTATTACATCTTTAAAACAAAATTTCTGTGACACACACAAAAAGCAATTGGGAAAGGATATATTTCATATCACAAAGGATAAATTTTAATTATATAAAAATGATAATGTGAAAAATAAAACAATATAGTATAAATAAAACTATATCTTACTTAAGCATGAATTTTAAGTTAATAAGACCAATGACAGCAGGAAATGAGCAAAGAATATGGACAATTAACAGAAAATAGAAACAACTCAAATAAAAAGATGCTATATATGAAACAGACAAAATGCACAAGTTTGATGACATGTTACAATGAAACTAGGGAGAAAGACATCCTCAAATTCTACTATTGGAATATAAAGTGGTTTGATCTCTCTCTCTCTTTTTTTTGTACCAGGACTTGAACTCAGGACCATGCACTTGCCAGGCAAGTACTGGCTAAATCTCTATGAAGGGTAATTTGGCCATGACTATCAAAGCTTAAAATGCATACAACCTAGTGATTTCACTTTCAGGAACTTTTGCTCATGTGTGAAGTAACATACGTGTAAGATAATTCTAGGCAATCATTAATATAAAATACTGAAATAACAAGTAAGTTCAATAAAGGACCATTACAATGAACTATAGCAGATCCATAAAATTGAACACTCTGCAGCTGGTAAAACTAAGGAATGAAGATCTTTATATATTACATGGAAAAATTTCTAAGATATAATAAAAGGAATAAAATGCAAAAGGATATATAATAACCCATAGTGATATTTATTCATTTCATATACAATCACGTAAGTTTCCCAGAGTACCACTGGGAAGAAGGGAAAGTGGATAGATGTGAAGAGTACTTGTCATAGTCCTTAAAACACTTGGAAAAAAAAAAACAACTGGCATTGTTTGAATCTGTTTTTGATTCAAAAAATTTAAAAAGGGTTGGGGAGCAAACAAAACTCTACTTGGGGGCCGGGGAGATGGCTCAGTAGAATAAGTGCTTGACTTGCAAGTACAAGGGCCAGAGTTCAATCCCCAGTTCCCCCCAAAAAGCAAAACAAAATTCTACTTGGTATGGGAAAACTTTTACCTACAGAATAAAAACCCAAACTCCAGCCGGGGAGATGGCTCAGTAGAATAAGCGCTTCCCTGGCAAGCGCAAGAGCCTGAGTTCAATCCCTGGTTCCACCAAAAAAAAAAAAAAAAAAAAGGCTCTTGGGGGCCCCTTAGCTCAGTTCTTTAAGTGGATGCTTCAACAAAGCTGTCAGGCTCAGGTTGCTGTGGTTGGATCCCCACAACTAAAGCCAGCCAAACATGCCCTGAGGGCATTCCGAGCCCCCCCCACCAAAAAAAAAAAAACAACCAAACTCCTGAGTTTGGTAAATAAGAATTTTCAAAACTGGAAGTGAGTATGGTATACTGGATAAGAGTGTAGTCTGGGTCAGGTTTCTGGAATTAAAATATAAACTGTGTGTGTGTGTGTGTGTGTGTGTGTGTGTGTGTGTGTTGCCAGAGATCAAACCCAGGGCCTTCTAGCATGCGAGGCAAGGGCTCTACCACTGAGACACATTCCAAAGACTTTAAAATAAAAACTATTTTTACCAGGAGACTACAAGTATCTAGAAATGTAATTTCATCTCTCTAAGCATCAGAAATGTAAAATGGAGATAATAATATGTTGCTCCTCCACTGCACGGTTGTGAAAATTAAATTAGAAATCCACAGCAATGCTCAGTGCACGCTTCACAGCCAGAAACCAATCAATGCTGGGTATTTATTATTAACAATGCAGCTCACCACCCCTGCTTCAGTACCATGAGCTCTCAGCCTCTGACTATTTATCCTGGATGCGCTAAACTTGTGAAACTGGTTCACCTCAGTCCGTCTTTTTGAGTGAGTTACCCAACTGTGATAGCAAAGTCTGTGACTCCAGTCCAGAGTTTTCTCCTAAAATGTAGACTTCAGTGCTTAAATGATTAGTCAACATTTACTCATGGATGTTTCTGTCAAGGAAATGAAATTCTCCAAAATTAAATGTATTATTTCCCTCTGCTTCATCTTAAGTCTTTCCCTTTCTGTAAACTTGCCAGACATTTAACAGATAATCCACTTAGTCCTCTCCAGTCCAGAAACTTGGAGGTCATTTTAAGGTTTTTTTCTGTTCACCAAACTCTTCATATTGCCATTCTTGAGTATCTGCTGTGCCTTTGTATCCCCAGTCCCTGCTTCAGCTCTGTCTCTTATTGCACATGAATTTTCTGCAACAGCCTTCTCTTGTTTCTCCTCTTGTCCACTTAACTACAAGGTCACCACAATTCATTTTCCAAATTCGAATGTGATAATTCCACGTTGAAACTCTTAGTGGTCGCCCAGTGCCTGAGGACTCCTCACTGGCTAGCCCCACACACTCTACTTCAGCTAAACCACAGTCTCCTGAGCTTGTCTTTCTCTGCTTTTACTTTGAATCATCTTGGTCTATGCTTTGTCTTCCAAGTAGAACAAGATTAGCTCAGAGGACCTTAAATTGGATGGGAAAAAAATTTCACCTTCACTGTTATTAACCTTTATCTGGAATTTAGTATTTCTTTCCATTATGATGGTGGGAAGCAAACCATAATATTAACACTACCTGTACTTCATCACTAAGCAAAATCATAATGTTTTTTTCTTCTCAATTAGCATTGCTATAGATATGTCAAAATATTATGTATGGGCTGAGAATGTAGCTCAGTGACATAGTGCTTGCCTAGCATGTGTGAGGCTCTGTGTTCAATCCCAGCACTGGGAAATTATCTTCATAATTTGATATTATGGTACTTACTAGAGCTCTGCTGGATTTTGTTATTTAACATGTTAAATAACACAGCACATTATGACAGTACCACAAATTGAGTTTTTATAATTTCTGATAATGAAATTTATTTCAGTATTATTGGTTTCATATATAATTCTATGTACTTTATGTATTTAAAAATATTAAGCATGGGATGTAGCTCAGTCATAGGCTGCTTACCATGTATGAAGGCCTGGATATGATCCTCAGCAATGCACAACCAACAAAATACTATTTTGAATAAATCCAGAATGTTCTTTCCCACTGTGTCGGGGGTGAGAGGTGGATGTGCCAGTCTCCTTTTAAGACTCAAGTTAATTGAGTCTTGGTACAATTGGTGCAATTCATTGCTCCCTTCCCATTTCTCCACATTCCCTATGTCATACATGTCTGTTCCCCGTTAGAAAGTTCCCTGAAGGCAGAAAGGTCATTCATTTTGAATATTCAGTATCTAGTTTAGAACCTGTCATACAGAAGTGAAATAAAGTTGTGTGTGTGTGGTCTCAATCTATAGTGCAGGTTTGCTCACTATGCAGCTCAGGCTGGCCTCAAACTCAACACTCCAGCCTCCTCCTGAATTCTGGAATTATAGGCTCGTGCAACCAGACCTGGTTTAAAGTTTTGTTGAGTAAGTGAAAGAATACAAAGCCATATAAACAGTACCTTAAAATCTGGATTTGAATCCCGGCTAATGGTTGCTTTGTGACTCTGAGAAAGTCTTTTACCTTTCTCAGTTGAGGGCAATGACTCTATTATTTATTATCTTTCTGTTGGTGTTTTTTGTTTTTTTTTTTCTTTTGTTTTTTTTTTATTTGTTTTGGATACAGGGTCTCACTGTGTAATCCAGGCTATTTCTGAACTTGTGATACTCTTGCCTCAGCAGCCTTAGTGCTGGACTCACAGGCATGTGCCACCACACTTAGCTTTATCACATTCTTTTGTGTAGAGAATCAAATGACAATGCCAAAGAGCATTTTCATGTTGTAAGGGCTATGGAGAATTAGGTCATTATTATACCAACTTATCTAGTAGTACATAAAAAATGTGTCAAAAGAATGAAAAGCCACAGATTGGGCCAAAGTATCTGCAAAACACGCATCTAATAAAGGAGTATTTCTAGGGTTGAGGATAGAACCCAAGGCTTCCCCCACATCAGACAGGTGTTTGACCCCCGAACTATATTCTTAGCCCTAGAAGAAATTCTTAGAACTCAGAAATAAGGAAAAAACTAATCTGATTTAAAAGTAGGCCAAACCAGGCTGGGCGTAGTGGTGCACACCTGTAATCCAATACTTGAGAGGCTGAGGAGGAGGATTGTCCCAAATTCAAGGCCAGCTTGGAGTACATAACGAGTTCAAGGCCAGCCTAAACCACCTAGCAACACGCTGTTTCAAAAGCCACCAAGAAACTTAAAAAAAAAAAAAGAAAAATCAGACAGAAGTATAGCAAACGACAGGACACGTGCCAAGGGCTGCGGCTACAGCTCTGCGGCCCAGTGCCTGTCTGGCAAGTGCAGGTTCCTGAGTGTGATACTTGGCACCAAAAACATCAATGTACAGAAATATTCAGCATCACTAATCATCAGGGAACTAAAAACTGAAGCATGGGTTATAGGCCAGGGGTAGAGCTCAGTGGCTTAAGCACCTGCCTGGCCAGCAGAAGGTCCACAGTTTGATCCCTGGTACTGAAAAAAAAAAAAAAAAAAAAAAAAAAAAAAAAAAAGAAAGAAAGAAACATGGGTTACTGTGAATTTGAGGCCAGCCTAAACCACACAGGAAGATTTTGTCACACAAACACACATACCATCTTAACCTAGGTAAGGTTAATATTTGTCATTAAAAGACAACAACAACAAAAATAAATAAATAAATAAATAAATAAATAAAAAACAACAAGAAAAACCACAAACAAAGTGCTAGCAAAGATGTGGAGAAAAGGGAATTCTTATTTACTATTGATAGAAATATAAATTACTACAGCCATTACTGAGAACAATATGAAAGCTCCTTAAAAAACTATATTTGCCACACGTGGTGGCATATACTTGTACTCCAGCACTTTGAAGGCTGAGACAGGAGATCATCATGAGCTTGAGGCCAACCTAAGCTACACAGTTGAGTTCAAGGGCAGCCTGAACTACATAGTAAGACCCTGTCTCAAAGGATCTCCCCAAGTCAAAAAAAAATTATGCACAAAACTACCATATAACACAGCAATCCCACTACAAAGGAAAGGAAATCAGCCATGTCAAAGACAGCTTTATACTCATATCTACCTCAGCACTACTCACAATAGCCACAATAAGGAATCAACTCAGATGTCTGCAAACGTGTCAAAAGAATGAATAAACAGATAAAAGAAAATGTGGTACAAATACACAATATAATAGTATTTGCCAATAAAAAATGAGTGAAATATTGTCAATTGTGGCAGCATGGATGAAAATGGAGGCACTTGGGAAAGGGCAAAATTATGGAGACTGTAAAAAGACCAACAGTTATCAGGGGATGAGGGTGAGGGAATAAGTAGGAATTTTAGCTCAGATTCTTACTGCAGAGTTAGAAAAGAGAAAGCACAGGAAAGCTGTACTGTACCCAGCTCTATGCTAACCCAATGAGCTAACCCTTGCATAGCAGAGCAAGGCAGTGACTTTCCAGGTCCAAATGCAATCCCATAAGAGACCACAGTGTTAGAGAGTTGCCTGAAGATTCCTTCTGTTCTCAGGTTTTGACAGGCAGTTCCCAGAAACGCACATATTCATGAAAAAACAACTGAGACAATGATATGTAGATAATAACAGATTTAGGCCAAATTCGGAATTTGAGACTTAACTATAAGATCAAGTGGAAGAAATAAATGACCTCATTTCCTACTGCAGAGACACAATACGTGTATATTTGAAGAAAACTTTCAATTTTCCTCCATCTACCTTCAAATCTATTTCCCCTACTAATCAGGGACCAGTGTGCTGATTTGTTTTTTAATTCCTTTGCATTCCAAAAGATAAATGAGATTGCTCAGTTGTGCCCTATTTAACTTACTACCTATTCTCCTATCTAAATGTCCTCTATAATCCTCTTACCTACAGTTAGGAAGGTGCTCAGCAGCTGCTCCGTGGCAACAGGCTTGATCTCTGTCCGCAGATTAACAAATCTGCCAACCACCAAAGGAGCACGGCGGAAACCCAGAACCCTGGTTTGGAAGATTGAAGAAGAGACAAATCTTTGAGAATGTATTTTTAAATAACAGTCTTAAAAACTATGGTTAATAATGTTAAATGTGTAAAGGTACTGCAGGTTGGTGGGTACACCTATTGTAGAGAAAACATGTATTTAGGAGTTTAATGTCAAGGTGTAGGTAATTTATTTTCCAATTCAGCAAAAAGGATCAGGCAAGTCAGGCAAAATGTGAACCATGAAATCTATGGAGTACAAGTGTTTTTTAAAAAATAAATTTTAATACAGCATAGAAAAAAAGTAAGCCTAACTTCATAATGGGTTAAAAACTTTGCAGATGAACAATATACAAATTGACCTAAAAGAACAAACTCACAGGGCAACTTATATAGAGGCATTTCAAGGTCCCTCTCTCTGATGACCTGAAAATGTTACCCTATGATTAAAAACAATTTTTATTCTGTAAGTGAAATTTCCTGGCTAAAATACACACAATCTATGAAGAAAAGTTAGATGAGTAGAATTTGGAACACACAGAAAATTGATAATGAAGGAAACAAAAACCATAATTCTACAATCCATATTAACTACTGATATACTTTGATATATAAGCATTTTTCTTTACATGTTTATATAAGTACATTAACCTATATATACACAAATAGTTGAGCTTATACTGTATAGTTTTGTATCCTGCTGTTCACTCATCATTGTGTTCATGAACCTTTCCCCATGTCATTAGAAAAACTTTAAAAATGGCTATGTTATAAACAACCCACTGTTTAGAGCTGTTGATTCAATCCTAAATCTAATCTTAGAAAACAGACAAAACAAGAAACAGATTTGTCAAACTAACATAAAAATTAAGAGGAAACCGTCAAGGCAGGAGAAAGAGGCTAAATTTGTGTATGGTGAAGAAAGAGCTAACCCAAGGCAGAAATATCAGAAGCCATGAGGGCTACATGGTGTGAGGGGAGTGGAAAATATTCTTCCTTCCCACTGAGCAGTGCAGACCGAAGAACAAAAGCCAATTTAGGGCCATCCAGATAGCTCAGTGGACTAAAGCACCTGCTTAGCAGGCACAGGGACTGATTCCAGCCTGCCGTGTGGGCCAGCCATGGCATGCTGAGAGGGCAATTAAAATCCCAGCATTTGGGAGGCCGAAAACAGGAAGATAATTAGGAATCAATCTTTATATTGAGACCCCGTACTAAATACTAAATAAATAAATAAAATATGTGTTTGATTTAAAAAAAGCCAATTTGGTGGGGAAGAGCAATATCACAGTGGCACTGCAAGTTGGCTATGGGGCAATTAACAGTTAACAAAACAGGCAGGGGATCGCCAGAAGTATCTGGCTTTGAAGTATGGGAAAACTTTCAAATGAAACACACCTAAAGCATACCTCATAAGCTGAAACATCAAAAGTAACTTTTTCCTTTTTAAACAAGGAATACTTTATTCAAAAAGACAGGCATGCTGTGAAAAGATAAATTTTGTCAGTTACTAGCAGGGCGGGTGGAAGAATGAGATACCATTTATCACACATTAACAAAAATTACTACATTAGGTAATAAAGAATATTGGTCTGGAAATGGAGAAATGATGGTCTTTATGATCAGCTGATATCCAAGAAAGACAAAACAAGAAGAGGCTAGAGAGTGAAGAAAGCAGGCAAATAATAAATAATGTCCTGGACAGCCTGGTTCTACGGCGATTAAGTGAACAGTAGCATTTATCCAAATTTCTGCCACTAGATCTTACAAGAGGCAGCAAAAACTCATGATACTATCAACACTTATTTAATTTTTTCTCTATCTATAGATATTTAGGTTGTTCTCAGTTTTTTAGTACTCAAAGTCTGCTGTTAAGAAAGTAGTATGTGTATCTTTAAATTTATTGCTTCACTATGGTATTTCCTAGAAACATCTTCCTAGAAATACCTTAAATATATACACAGTCATTCACTCAAGCAAAATATCATTAAAATTTTCAATACAAAATTACAGAGTTCTTACAGAAAGACTGAAATTAACAATGCCAACAGGGAAATATGAATCTCAAAACAGTTCTGCCAAAAAAGTATTATCCTTTTTTTAAAAAAACTTCACTATTTTTGGCAGGTGAAAATAGTAACCCATAGTTTAACTACATCTTAAACATTTTTCTATTAAGGATAAATTTGCTCTCATATTGGTTAGCAATAGGTAAATACTATTTAGCTAACTGCTTATGTTCTTGATCCACTTTGTATTAAAAGAGTTTTACTGAATATAGATTATATGACCATGTAAAAAATCCTTATCTAGAAAGAGACAAAAAAAGAAATCATTCCCCATTGGTATCCTTACAGATTCTTTTTTTTTTTTTTTTTTTTTTTTTAAATAATGTATTTTAGGACAGGGTCTAGAGGGTCTGTAGGATCTCACTACATAGATTGGACTCGTAGTGATTCTCCTGTTTTCAGCCTCCCAAGTGCTGAGATTATAGGCACACGCCACCATGTCCAGTTTCAATAGCTGTCTCAGCACGCCTGGGGTGGGGCCGGCACAGCACACTAGGGATTGAACCCAGACACTGCGTTCTGCCCAAGCAGGTGCTTTAGTCTCCTGTTATCTGGCCAGCCCCAGATTCATTCTTAAGCAAATATAATACATAATTTCTTTTAAAGTCTGTTAATATGCCAGACTGAAAGAACTGGTGAGAAGAGTAACTGGAACATCAGACAGTTCAGATAAGAGGTTCCTGATGAAACAAATCTGCTAATAAAATATATTAATCTTGGGGCTGGTGAGATGGCTCAGTGGTCTAAAGCACCGACTTAGAACAAGCTTGAGCAAAGCAAAGCACAGGGACCGCGGTTCAATCCCCCAGCACCACATGCCAGCCAGCCCCGCCCCCTGGTGGGCTGAGCTGGCCACGCACGCACGCACACATACACGCACACACATAAATAAATAAATAAATAAATAAAAATTTATAAAAAAAATAAAATATATTAATCTTTCATGTTGGTGTGTGATGGTGCACATTTGCCATCCTAGCACTTTCTTCCAGCACTCAGGAGGCTGAAGGAGGAGGAATGCCATGAGTCTGAGGCTGGACTGGGTTATAAAGTGAGTCCAAAGCCAGGCTGAACTACATAGCAAGAACCTGTCTCAAAAAAACAAAAAACAAACAAAACCCCTCTTAGTTATCTTTCTTTCTTTTTTTTTTTTTTTTTGGTGGAACCAGGGATTGAACTCAGGCCCTTGCGCTTGCCAGGGAAGCACTTATTCTACTGAGCCATCTCCCCAGCTCCCCTCTTAGTTATCTTATAAATGAAATTCATACCCACTGTTTTTTGTACTGGGAATTGAATTCAGAATCTTGTGCTTGCCATGTAGGCACTTAAGTTGCTGAGCTACATCCCCAGCCCAACTGATTATTTTTTCTACTTTTTTTTGGGAATGTGATTGTTAATCATGATCATCAACTTGTTTGGATTAAGAAATGCCTATAGATTAGTAAAGGCTTCCTTTGTGTCTGGGTAGGTCTGTGGAGGACTACCTGAGCAGCAATCCTTAAAAGAAGAGCGATTTTCTTCATTTTGGCTGAGCCTGACCCTATTTCCTTGTACTGATACATACAGAGCTGGCTAGGACTTCTCTTTATCCTTTCAACTGGCCTGAAGCAATGTATATTGGTCTAGCCGAGGTACTGGCTGTAATTTTTGAAGACGGCATGCATGTTTCCCTTATAACTCACACTTGCTGCTCTCCAATATGAGTGGGGTCCAGACAGGACGAAGAGCCAGTGCTCCATGCTGTTGGCTGGGATCAATAAGCCTCGAGATAGAGGCTATGACTTCCTCAAAACATTAGATACTATCTCAATAGCATAATGCAAATTACTCTCTCTGCATATGACAGAGGTAAATGTAGACCACCCACCTAACCCAGCTCACAGTAATCACCTACTTCCCACAATTCTCTTCCTCAAGCCACTCCTCCTTCTCAGCTGAATAAAACCCAGGTGCAGCCCTGGGTCACTCTCTTTGTTCTGGAAAGCCATCTTTGTGGCTGGACTTGGGGCCCCTTGGCTCCCCTATAATTATATATATATGTCTTTAATGTCTTGTTTTCACCACGGGTTGCACTAGGAGTGATAGATTGGAATTACTTGGTGGGATTCCAATAACATATTTTTGGGATTATAAGTATAGACTTGTAGGGCTGAGATGAGAACCAGGAGGGGACTCCTACATAGGTCATGAGGTCATGGCCTTGGAGATTATTTTATCTGGTTCCTAGCACTTTCCTCGTCAGGCTCTTTCCAATCTGCTGTTTCCCAGCTGCCATGAAGTGAGCAACTTCACTCTATCATGCCCCTCCACCATGATGGTCTGCCTCACCTCAGACCCACTGCAACACACCCAGCCACCCATGGACTGAAACCTCTGACACTGTGATCCAAGTAAATTTTCCTCATTTAATCTGTACATGTCAGACAGTTGTCCCAGCAGCGGGAAAGCTGACCAATACATAAACCATTTTAGTTTTGTAAGCTGTGAAAATTTTACATAGGGAACAATAAGACTATGGATTTCTGGCTAGATGTTTCCAATATATGGGGATATGTCAGTATTACAGCAAAATAAAGCAAACAACAGACCTGTCAATTCCCAGTTAATTACCAATTCAATTCACAAGGATTTTTTTTTTTTTTTTTGGGGGGGGGGGCTGGCTCAGGCTGCCTTAGGGCCAGGTCTGGGGATCCAACTGCAGTCCCCTGTGCCTGACTGGGTTTGCCCAAGCAGGTGCTTAAACAACTGAGCTAACCTGCAAGCCCCACCAATTCAATTCAGGACTACAAATTCAAACTTTGTTTTCATCCTGTCATTTTATTTACCAAGAATATCTTTAGTCAGGCCAGTGAGATAGCTCAATAGACTAAGTGCCTGCTTAGGCAAGCATAGAGACCAGGGTTCGATCCCAGTACCACATGCTGTGCTAGCCCTGCCCTGGGCATGCTAAGCCAGCTGCTGAGACTGGGCATGGTGGCACATGCCTGTAATCCCAGTGCTGCAGAGGCTGAAAACAGGAGGATCACTATGAGTCCGAGCTGCACAGTGAGACCCTCTACCAAACACATAAGAAAGAATATCTTTAGTCAAATATAATGATAGAAAACATGCCAGCAATAAAATGAAATAAGGTACAAGTCTGAAATTAAAACATTTACTTTGGTATCCCTAGTGTCACGCAAATTACAAGGGACTCATATAAACGTAATGGAACTAGCTAATCAGCTATCCAAAATAGGTAACAACTCCAAGTTATTAGTGTGATCCCTTTATATTTTTTTTGGCCAGCTCAGCCCGCCCTAAGGGCAAGGCTGGTACAGAATGTGGTGTCAGGGACTGCACTGAGGTCTTCTACACCTGCCTAAGCTTGCATAAGCAGGTGCTTTAGATTGCTTGAGCTATCTCACTGGCCCAGTGTGGCCCCTTTAAAGAGTTCACAAGGCTTTGAGAGATTACTGCCTGGCCTGGTGGTGAATGCCTATAATCCTAGCCACTAAAGAGGCTGAAGCAGGATTATCAACCTGAGCAACTAGGCAAGACTGTCTCAAAATAAATTTTTTAAAGGGCTGGGGATCTAGTTCAGTTGTAGGGTGCTTGTCTGGCATGTACAAGGTCCTGGGATCAATCCCAGTACTGTGAAAGAGAAACAGAGACAGGGCAAGGGAAAGAGAAAGGGGAGAGATTGAGAATGATTGATTTTACAAAGAAAGTGGACACAGACTATTAGGATTATACTTACCTGTCCAAGTGAAAGGCTGCTACCTCTGCATTGTGTCTGTCGTAACCTGCATATGGCTCCCCTTCCACCACATAGTCACGACTATACCTAGCAAAGGGAAGGGGTAGCACAGATGTAGACATGAATCACGTTGGTACCAGGCTGACAACACAGGAGGCAGAGTACACACTTCAGCAAGCCTGAGTCTGTTCATGTACAATGAGGACACTTGTGGGATAGCACAAAATGCTACTAGATAGTGGGAAGATGAGGTACAGAAAGAAACTAGAATTCTGTATCTGCCTCAGCAATCATTATGTGAATAAAACATGGAACATATTATTTTTACCACTCCAAAGGGCTTTCAGTGTGGTTTAATTGCAACTACAATGTAATTTTGTGAAAGGCAAGAAGCATCTTTGTATTGCTAGCACAATGTTAAACTTAGAGTCAGCGATGAATAAACGTCTACTAAAATACAGATTGAACTGAAAAAAAAAAACAAAAAAAGTCTGCCTACCAGCATGGCTGCAGTAAGGCTTATAAAAAAAGTTTAAATTTCTTGAGGAAAAATCGTCCTGATATTCCTCAGTTTTTGTTATTGAGAAGGCAAAGGTGCTTTTGGGGAAAAGAGTTCATGATTATGCAATGGAAGGAATACTGGACTGGCAGTGAGAGCTGGCTGTGGTTCTCATCCCCTGTCTGGCTAACCTGAGCAAAATCCTTCTCTTCTTGGTGTCAGATTCCATACCCACAATACTAAGGACTGGACTAGGAGGTATTTTCTAAGGTCTCTTTGATTATACACTGTGTTCAGATGATTTTAAACCATATGTATGACATAACAGATAATGAAAACTGGCATATTTATTTCTAAACATTTTTTTTAAATTTGTGTGTGTGTGTGTGTGTGGCCAGCTCAGCCCACCAGGGGGCGGGGCTGGCTGGCATGTGGTGCTGGGGGATTGAACCGTGGTCCCTGTGCTTTGCTAAGCTTGTTCTAAGTAGGCGCTTTAGACCACTGAGGCATCTCACCAGCCCAAAATGGAATAAAGATTTTTTTTTTTTTTTTTTGCTCTGAATGCCTGCAGGGCAGGTTTGGCTGGCTGGAGGGTTGTGGGGATCGAACTACTTTTTCTTTTTTTTTTTTTTTTTTTTGCGGAACCAGGGATTGAACTCAGGCTCTTGCACTTGCCAGGCAAGTGCTTATTCCACTGAGCCATTTCCCCAGCCCCATTTCTTTCTGATAACTTTTTCTTTCTCTTTTTTTTCTATTTTAGATAGGGTCTTGCTATCCAGTTGAGGTTGGCCTTGAATTCACTATGTTGCCCAGATTGGCTTCGAACCTGGAGCAATTTATGAAGAAAACATATTTTATGTTTTATGTTATGAAGAAAACATATTTTAAGAAGAAAACATATTTAACTTATCTAGGACTTACTAAGCACCTATATGCCTGAATCAAGGGGGACCTACTAGGCTTTACAAAGGAACTGTGAAAAAAGTTGAGACTGAAATAAAGAAGAGTAGTTCCACTACAGACAGTCAGATTTCCAATGCTCACACAGCTATGGGTAAGTGGAAACAGTACTGTAAAAGCCAATATCTTTCTGGGGATTGAACTCAGGCCCTTGCACTTGCCAGGGAAATGCTTATTCTACTGAGCGTATCTCACTGGCCCAAAAGCCAGTATCTTAAATGATCTTTGAATACAAAGAGAAATAATGTCCACAAAATATATCTTTAAGACAAAGTGAAACATTCATTCTACATGGGTAGGTACCAGTTTCTCCTTAGCATGGTCTAACTATCATGGGGCTTTTGTTGTGTTTTGTTTTTTGAGACAGGGTCTCACTATGTTGTTCAGGCTGGTCTCAAATTCACTATGTAGCCCAGGCTGGCCTCAAACTTACAACAATCCTCCTGCCTTAGCCTCTCAAGTGCTGGCATTACAGGTGTGTGCCACCATGCCCAGTATTTTTGTTGCTGTTCCTGGTGCAAATAATTATTTAGGTTCCCTAAGTTTATACTGGTTCCTTCCATTTATTTTACTTTTGTCTTTTTGAGACAGGGTCTCATTATGTAGTTCAGGCTGGCCTTAAACTCATTTTGTAGCCAGGGCTGGCCTCAAACTCACAACAATTCTCCTGCCTCTGCCTCCTAAGAGCTGGGATTACAGGAGCAAGCCACCACACCCAGCCTGGCTGCTTCTAAATTAAAAGTCAATTTTTATGTATCACTGCAGTAAAAGCTGATGATATACACACACTTTTTAAATACAGGTGTAGGTTCTCTGTGATTGGTAAGAATGTTCTAGAATATTTTTCAGGACTTCATCAAGTCATATGAAGACATGTGATGAGGGTAGTATACTCCATTCAGTGGAATTAGAGAGTCTTAGCATATATTCATAGTGAAATATAAAACCCTAGAAGAATCCAGGAATTTTGGGAATAGGCTGGAAAGGAAGGGAAGGAAAATGGAAGGGAATAAAAATCAAAATGAAAGAACAGCACTAGAGTTAAGAGGTCTTAAATCCATAGCTCACGTTCTAGCTATATAAAACATGGAAATGTAGAATTCTGGATCTTATTTTCCTCACACATAAAGTGAACTGTTGGACTAGCTGATCTTCAAGGTTATTTTCAGCATGCCTCAAGATTATTCAGTAACTTCTACTGTGTCCTATGCCCCTGCCTTCTTGGTCCTTCAGTTTTTGCCTATAATAATCAGTTTACTTACAGAATGGATATAGTGAGAGAGAGGGAGGGAGGGAACACTTTGTATAATATAAGGAAAATGTATAAACAAAAACATCATTATATTCCTTTACATGCCATCTACACATATATATCTTCTACCTCTGAGAGAAGGATAAGGACAACCAGGCTCCAGAAATGCTAAAACCACAGTGGCTATTAAAAGAAAGGTGCATGCCTTGATTTAGCAGTCAGAACTTACATCCTCCTTTCAGCAGAGAATGATCTGTCTTGTCACTGACAGAACAGCAAAAGTCATAAAGTAACTGCCAGTTCATCACTCAGATCCTAGTGAAGAACATCAGAGTCTGAGAAGGACATTAATTTGCAATTAGAAGGAGAACTAAATAGCTTATGAGGCCCTGGGGGTCAGAAGAGCATTTTGCTGGGTGTTTAGTGCTTGCAGTCAGTTTGTACAAATGCTTAAACCTATACCCCCACCTTCCTCAGCCTGTGAGTTTCTGGTGTAAAGCAACACAGATCAGGCCTTCTGTATACATTCATGTGAAACAGAAAGGGAAAGGAAGCCATCCTGCACTGAGAGAAAGCAGGAACTGGTCAGCAGAGGTGGAGAAGGATGGGGCCCGGTTTGATATGAATAAAGAGCAAAGAGAGACTAAGGCCCAGTATGGACAATAGGATCAGATGGTGGCACTCTCAATCATTAGGCTGTGAAGCTGGTTTTGGTTTGGTGGGCAGAGTGATAATATGAGTGAACAACAGCACTTTGACTAATAATAGTCAGATTTCCAACACTAAAACATGATATGAAAAGGAAAGCAATGGGCCAGACGTGGTGGCACACTCTTGTCTGTAATGCCTGTAACTCTAGAGGCTGGGGCCAGAAGATCACTAGATTTGAGGCATAATGAACTACTTAGTAAGTTCAAGGCTAGCCTGAAATTGTAGTAAGACCCAATCTAAAGAGAAAGGAAGAGGGAAAGACAGAGACAAGACAGAATAGAAAGAGAAAATAAGCAAGCCTGCCTAAAAAGCACCTGGCCATAATGCACCCTGTTTGCAATCTCCATCTTCCAACACTTTCCATCTCACACTTAATTCTACAGTGTACAATAGTGCATGTGGAAGGGAATTTTTTTGTTGTTTAAACAAAATACTTACAACTCCTCTCTTTCTATATAAATTTAATTTTTATTTTTGTTTTGCCTTCTATCATTTCGCTGTTTCTAATTTTAAAGCTAAATCAGTGATTTTTAATGATGGGGTGCTCTATATCATTGCCCCTAGTGGAAGGCAAACAAAGAAACTTAAGAGAATTCCATGTATATTCCAGAAAATAAGCTGCTTACAACTGACAGATCTGGGTTCAAACCTCAGATCAGCCCATTATTGTAAGGTGACCTTGGCAAGGCAGTTATTCTCTCTAAGCTTGTTTTTATTCTGGAAATAAGAATGAAAATTGATCCAAAGGTTAAAAGCATTAACAGATGCAAAAGTACTTGATGTGATGCCTGGCAAGTGGTATACATCTAACAGAAATTAGATCCCAAGGCCCACCTAACCATACTTTTTCTATATGACCAAAAGCCAATCACAGTATTCTCTGAAAGACTACTGCATTTTAAGCTTGTCTAATTTCTACATCTTTCACACATGATACTTCCCAGTTCCAGGCAAATAAACCCTGGCCCCTTTCACTGCTAGAATTCTAAACAGATTTATGGTCTAACTGCTTTTTATCTACTAAAAGTTGGGTAATAAAGGAAGCTGAATTTTGTACATATGGTCTCTATATTTCTACCCTTACCCTAGCAAGAAATCTAACAATATAATTCTCTCATTTACCAAGAAATAAAAAATGTTTAGTACACGAATTTTGAGATTGTTCATTGGTAACTAACTCCTGGAAAAAGAATATAAATTATCATCATGTTAAGTTTTACCCATAGAAAACTTTTTAGAAAATTAACTGTACTGTAATATTGTTTAGATTATCTCTGTAGATCTCCAGAGAAGTTCAAAGGAGTTATTACAACATACACACCAGTTTATTGAGGCAACTAAAATGGCCTTCTTTTTTGCTTAAAAACAGGTTAAGAAACAATGAGATACTCCTTAAGATGACTATAATCCAAAATACAGACAATATCAAATCTTGGTGGGGATATGGCATAATAGAAATTCTTGGCTGGTGAGATGGCTCAGTGGTCTAAAGCACCTACTTGGAACAAGCTTGGCAAAGCACAGGGACCGTGGTTCGATCCCCCAGCACCACATGCCAGCCAGCCCTGCCCTCTGGTGGGCTGAGCTGGCCACACACACACACACACACACACACAATAAATAAATAAATAAATGAAAAAAAAAAAAAAAAAGAAATTCTTATTTCTTGTAGGTAGAATGCAAACCACTTTGAAAGACAGTTTCTTTTATTTTCCCCACCTTTTTTCCTCTCGTTTTTTTTATTTTTTAAAGAGAATAAAAAATAGTTAAGCAAACAAACAAAAAACATTAGAAACGATACACAATTTCATTAAATAATAATTCATCAGTGGTTGTTATAATGCACATTGTTGTCTTCAAATTAATTGTTCAGATCAGATATAAGCATGCAAAGTTGGTCAAAAAAGTTATAAAACATTAAAAGAGAGAAAAATATTTAATCCAAATAAGTGAACACTTATGTCCACACAAAAACTTGCCTACAAATATTGATAGCAGCTTTTATTCACAACTGCCAAAACTTGGACACAAATAAGATGTCTTTCAATAAGTAGATACATTGTGATATATCCACACAATGAAATATTATTCAGCCATAAAAAGAAATGAGCTACCAAGCGACAAAAAGATATGTAGGAACCTTATATGCATATTGCTCAATGATAGATGGCAACGTGAAAATGCTATACACTGTAACCTAGGGTTGCCAGGGATTCAACAGTAGGAGGGGAACAATGACAAGGTGAAGCACAAGGGATTTTGAAAGCAGGAGTATTACTCTATATGGTATTATAATGATGGGCATATGTCTTCATGCATTTGTCAAAATGGACAACACAGAGTGAACCTTAATGCAAACTAAACTTTAGTTAATAATTAAAGTACCATTACTGGCTCATCAATTATAGCAAATGAATTACAATAAAGGAAGACATTGAGAGGAGAAATTTAGTGGGAGGCCGATTAATGGCAATTCTCAGTATTCTTCCCTCAATTATTTCTGTGAACGTAAAACTTCTCAAACAAACAAAAACAGGTGAAAGAATCAAGAATTAGTGCTGCAAAGGGACTTTAGTCACCCGCCTAACACCTAGTTCCTCTTCAGAGTATCCCTGAAATGGAGTAATCCCGTCTTTAGCTGCACATTTTTTGGTGACAAGGTGCTTATTTCCTAGCCAGTTAATTTTTTACTTATACTTGATATAACAGGTATCTGATAAATTAGAAATCAATAGGTCTAATAGTCAAAAAATTCAGTCCTCTGAAAAAGCAAAATATATCCTATAATTTTTTCTCCTCAAAGAATCATAATACTTTCAGAACTAGAAATGTAAGTACAGAGGCCAGGGAGATAGCTCAGTAGAATAAGCACTTGCCTGCCAAGTGCAAGATCCTGAGTTCAATCCCCAGTACCACAAAAAAAAAAAAAAAAAAAAAAAAAAGTGTAAGTACAGCTTCCAGTCTACCTTTCATTTTACTGAACAGAATACCAAGTAAAGGAGATGAACAAATTTTTACAAATTAACCAGCCAAATAGCACTTATAGCTTCTGCAATAAAGACTTACCGCTTAGGTTTAAAGACAACTTTCTGCCCTCCTTCAAGGATCAGTAAGGCTTTCAGCTGTGTCCCTTTATAACCCACATCAGCTTTAATGATTTTCTTGGTGGCCATGGCATGCATGATCGCCCCCAGTTCTGGGGTCTCTTCAGGGTACACTTCCCGGGGCACCACCCACTGAGCTGCAATCTCCCAGGGAGACTGCAAGGTGTGGTCCAGCTTGGGTGCCAGCTCTACTCGCAAGCCAGTCATCATTCGGTGAAAAGCCCTCTGATCCTCCCGGTTGGCAGCTGATGTATCTAAGTTATCAATCAGGAAAACTTTGGTGAAGATAAAGATGACAAGGAGTATTGCTAACAGCACAACTCGCTGCTTTAGCTTCATGTTGACTTCTTTTTCTTCCCCCAGCCCAATCTCTTGCTTGCTTATCAAGGAGAGCAGGTGGTGACAGTTAGCAAGGAGATTCCACGTTCCATTTCTTCACTAAACTTCCTCCACAACTCCTGCAAGTCCAAGTACAAAGTAAAATTCAATGGAGAATTGTCCTTCTATTATAGATATTTTGCAAGTCTCTAATATTTTAACCTTACTAATCCTGAATTTAATAAGATGCAGAAATTTAAAATAAACTAATCTGAGGAAGAAACTAATAAGAACTGAGTACACTGAAAATTTTGACACAAAGTTCCTGTTTTAATTGGCATGTGGTCTCCCATTTGGCTGGCTACACATGCATAATAATCATCAAAACAACAAGAAAAACAAAAATAGAACACTCAGATACATTTCCTTAACTTTTTCTTCTTTCAAAATCTATAAAAGACCTCTGAATAACCAAAATCACTAGTATTTGGTAAATTTCAAGTTCTCATCTTCTCCACATATAAGTTTTATGATATCTCATAAGACAAGAACTCTCCAAAATGCCAAACAGGGTGCAGTGGAGAGTAACAACTCCTCCAAATACAAATACTAACTAATCCTGGGAGGGTCATAGCTGCTGCTCATGTATTTAAATACAATATTCAGATACCACATATCTCAGTCTTTTACTAACAATTTCTCAAAATTAAAATGTCTCTAAAATATGGATAATAACTCTGGATAATTTAAGTAAAAGAAAAACATTTGGTTATCAGAATATAATCAGAAAATGAATGAAAGGAATTATAGCAACACTACTAGTCTGGAATGATGAGGCACATTAACAAGGATATTGGGCTGGGGAGATGGCTCAGTGGAATAAGTGCTTCCCTAGCAAGCGCAAGGGCCTGAGTTCAATCCCTGGTTCTGCCAAAACAAACAAACAAAAAAACCCAAGGATATTAATGCTGCAAAGCTAAAGAAGTACTGCTTCTAATATGGGCTGACCATACTTTGGGCAACTGTCAAACTAAAAAATTCCAAATACAAGATTTTTGCTAGAGTACAAAGAATATACAATTCAGTTTCATTTGCATGCTAAGAGGTTGCTTTCCATTCTTCTACAAGGCCATTTAAAAACATTCACAAGTTTGTACTGCGACATGCCTACAAACAGCACAGTACTGTCGCAAGAAAAAGATGACAAGAGGATAACAGTGTTTTGCTCTCCAATACATTCAACAACTCAAACCATTTTATCTAAGAAATAAAACCAATAGGATATTTTTTAACTAAACTTGAGACTGCTATCTATTAATAGCTGGAGACAACCTGAGAGCAAAAACATGCTCTAAAGGCAGTTCCTTGGTAAGCCAGCTGATGTGAAGTTTATTCTTGGTGATTAAAAACTCCTTTCCTGTTAAAGAAGCAAAAAGTAAGACTGAAATTCAAATTCTAATTATCCTTAGCCACCTGTTTTGTTTCATCACTGTCCCAGAAGTACCTAATGCTATTAGCTGAAACAAAAACAATTCAAGTACATCTCAAATGCAATCTGGTGTGGAACTCAGTAAAGGGTTCTTTGTGATTACTAGTAACAGCACTGCTAGAACAGCAGATTTTAAATATTTTTGCTAGTTCTAACATGACCTAAATAATACAACTTTTTCTTTCTTTCTTTTCTTTTTTCTTTTTTTTTTTTTTTTTTTTTTTTTTTTTGCGGAATTGAACTCAGGTCCTCGTGCTTGCCAGGGAAGCGCTTATTCTACTGAGCCATCTCCCTGGCCCCCCAACTTTTTCAATTACAGTGGCACCTTGGTTCATGAACACTTGTTTGCAAACTCATGTGCAAACAGAAGCACTTAGGAAAATTTTGTTTTTGTCTGCAGTCTACATCGGGTGATAAATACAACCATAGCCATCTTTCAAATTTCCCACACAAACACAAGCACGACCATTTTTTCACAAGTTGTATTTGCTCAACAATTCATATCTCAAGCTGCAGTGATAAAAGGCAATGTGAAAATCCAACTGTTTCAGCATGGCTTCCACAAGACCTCCTAATCTGTATACCTACAGTGGAAGAGTCTGGAACAAAGAGATCAGCCATCTCTCTGCATAAAACATCCTCCAGGACGAAAGTCTAGCTTACCTATAATCTTCTAATGATGTTGTGATTTCATGTGGAATAAAGAAAATCCACCCTCATACTATACAGACATGCATGCAAACATGCAGCATATAAATTAGGGTTGTTTTGTTTATGGTGCTAGGGATTAAACCAAAGCCCTGTGCATGCCAGACAAACACTCTACCACTGAGTTATGCCCCCAGCCCTGCTTTTTCCTTCTTCTTTTTTTAAAATCACCAAATTCAATAGGAAGTTCTAACAGTTCCAAAATTCAGATAAAACAAATGGCCCAATTCTGCTATCCAATTTTGTACACTTTCAATGAAATTTCATTACCTTTAGAATAGGCCTCAGAAGAACACACTAATCAATTCAGCGCTGCAAACAATTCATCCATTCTGATAAAAAATTTTATTAAGCGAACTGAAGAATTCAATTGTTACGTTATTTCACTATTGACCTCTGAAGAGTCAAAGTGAGGGCAGATTTTAAAAAAGAGGCTAAGTGAGTTTCCACATTTATAATCGATGTTACCACACCCTAGTTGAATAAGAAAGATCATGATGATTTGACATTGTCCTGTATCAGTACACTGCATTTCCACAAACACCAACATACTGCAGTGTTCCTCCCCTCCTACTGGACATGGAAAGAGCTGACTTCTGGGCTATCAGGCACTCAATGCAGCTTGGAGTTAAAAGAGTCAAAATAATTTTTCTAACCATTTAACCACCTCTGATTCTACAAATTCCTTAGCAAGGCATTCAAATCCTACCCTAAATGGCTTCAAGCAAGACATCTTGTTTCTCTTCTCACCTTCAACCAAATGGACCAAATTAACATGCTTCGGTCCTCCTCTGGATGGTCCTGCCCTTTGCCTGGCATTCCTCCCTCCTGAACACCCACAAAAGCCCTCTCCTCTTACCATGTCTTCTTGTCTCCCATGTAAAGCCTAATCCTTTTTTTAAAAAAAAATTTCTTTTTGTGTGTGTGTGTGTGTGTGGCCAGCTCAGCCCACCAAGGGGCGGGGCGGGCTGGCATGTGGCGCTGGGGGATTGAACCACGGTCCCTGTGCTTTTTTGCTAAGCTTGTTTTAAGTAGGTGCTTTAGACCACTGAGCCATCTCACCAGCCCCCCTAATCCTTTTTTGAAGACCCACCTCCAAGATTGTTTCTGGGCTCTCTTTATACCCTAGGGTAATTATTCTATCCTTTCAACCAATATTTAATTTCTACCTTGAAAACAGTTTTTAATTTCCCTTTCTGAATCTTTCCTCCTTTGAACAATCTACTTTGCTCCTTTTATGTTTGAGAGAGGGTAACCAAGGCAGGGCCTCCAGTCTACATTACTATCACTTTTCACTTGAGACAAACAGCATAGCTATACTCTGGAAACTGGATTTTTAAAGATTTTGTCGATGTTCCAACTATAGATACTAAGGAAATAAAAGCAAGATCAGTAGGTCTGTTTCAAATTATTTATGAAAACCTTCCTATCATTCCCAGAGGAGTATGCCTGTGATATTTTATGCCCTTACTTCCTCCTATAAATGCTTCAAATAGTTCAACACTGTCCATTTACATTATGATCATTTATTTTAATGTTCCTGTTATGTGGAACCAAGTCTTCTTCAGAAAACAAGTAGACTCATGATAGCTTAATTCAAAAACATTAGCTAAAAAAAGGCAGTACAATTGACATCTGTGTAAACAGTCTTCACAGTAAAAGCGGCATAAACTCTCAGATGGAGTTCTGCAAGTAAACCTTTACATGGAATTCTACAGAAGCATGGTTTCACACCCAACTCCATCAACCACATCAGGCTTGCTATACAGGCTCTTTTAATTCTTCACCCACAGACATCACCATCTTAGATGTGTGATAAATTTTATAAGAACAAACTTATGACTGTGAAGTCTCTGGAGAATAAAGATTCCACCAGAAAAAGTAAGATTTTAGTATAGTCCTCTGTTCAAGAGTCTGATGCTGGAGTATATACAGAGAAACATGTCAGTGCAGAGGTCTGTAAGTTGTATGATTCATGTAGCTGCTACAGAATATAACATCTTGCCCACCACTTAGGAACATACCAGGGATTCTATAAGCCCCAAGTGAGGGTCCACGCCTTCTCCATAAGTGTGTCTTTGAATTGCACTGATTTAAGTTGATAACTTCACGCTATTACTTCTGAGGTTACAAAGCAGAAATGTCAAACTTCGTTCAAAGCAACTAAAAGTGAAAGTTTTAGGATATGTAAAAGTTTCACTTTTTAGGGTTGTAAATTAAATGGTCAATCAAGTTATTAGCATGTATGTGGGATGCTTTGTGACTGTAAAGCACCACAAGACAGACATTCAGTTACAAACATTTCATGAAGAGGACGAGTAATAGATTTGTTGCAAAGTGGTAAAATTTATTAAATAACATACACACACAAACACACATGTATACAATCTCCCTATCCTACATCTTGAGTAGAACTATCATGATCCTTTCCAAAATTCTTTGGTAATTGCTGGCTTCAGCAAAACCACAGGTTTGTCCAGGGTAAAAAGAGATAAGATCAGCATTTAGAGATTTTTGTTGACTATATACAATGACAGACACCACAATTCTTCTCAAGGGTGGAGTCTAATCTTCCTCCTCCTAAATCTGGGCTGGTTTTATAACCTGCTTTGACCAACAGAATGCTAAGTGACTATGTGTCAGTTCTGGGCCTAGGCCTTGAAAGACCTGGCAGGTTCCACTTTCACTCTTTTGGGATCCAGCCACCATATAAGGTTTCTTGGGCTAGACTACCAAAGCCCTTTGTTATTCTGGCCACCTAGCTGAAGGGTCAGACAAGGGATTGAAGCTATCAAGCGCATTCCAGTCTTAGCTGAGCTCCCAAGGAAAAGAGTCACATACAGGATCCCAGCTTGCAGGCAGGAACTAACCAGCGGAAACTAGCTGACCTACATTAAAAAAAAAAAAAAAATTATTGTCTTAAGCTATTACAGTTTGGGGTAA